CCGCATTATGAGCCGACCTGGGCCGCATGCGGCCCTTGGGCCGCAGGTTGGACAAGCCTGTCTTAAACATTAAAGTATCAAAATTTTAACAATTATATAAAAGCCTTGCCAAGATGGAAAGATTAAAGAAAAAGTGAAAGACAGTTTATTTGACTGGAGGGAAAGCCTGCCTAAAAAAAACATGTTTTCATATGGTTTTAGAAAACATCCAGCGAGGGTGCCAGACGAATTTCTGTCAGGAGGCTGTTCCAAGGCAGAGGGGCTACTGCCGAGAAGGCCCAGTTTCTTGTTCTTTCTTTCTCGACCTCTCTCGGCGTTAGGTCCCTCAGCCGTCCCTGCTGGCTTTGTCGGGTGATTCGGGTAGAACTAGGTGGGAGTAGACACTCTGCCAGGGGTTGATGTTAACATCAAAATGTGTAAATGGTTGCGAAGTAGCCAATAAAAATATGGCACTGCCTGCTCTTATGCCTTCTAGGGTAAGATGATCTACAGAACTCAACCGGTTAATCTTCTCACTGTTCTCATTGTGAATTCGATATATAATTCCATTAAATTTCCCACTGTGCATTAGGTTCTGGAAAGACAACTTTGCTGGATGCCATAGCTGGAAGACTGAACCACGAGACAACATTTACTGGGCAGGTTTACCTCAATGGACGTGAGCCGAGGCAGCAACAATTTCAGAAGTGTTTTTCCTATGTTCTCCAGGTTGATTGGTTTTTACTGGATTTCTGTAGAAACTATAGTCATAATGGCATGATAGATTTTATTAATGTAATCTAGGTGTAAATTTTTGGTAGAACATGCCAGGTTCATATTACCAAGTCAATCTATGAACTTAAATGGAGTAATTTTTCAGTACAGTATTTGTCATTTTAAGACTTTTACTATAGATTTCTCAGAAGCGATGTGTAGCACATATACAAATAAAAATGCACAAAACACTATTATATTAAGCAACACAGCTTGCAAAAATACATATGTTAGTTCAATATGGATGCAAAAGAAATGGGTAAACAGCCAACCTGTATACAAAAACGTGTCTAATAGAAGAAATGGGCTTAAAGTGAATATAATTTTGTGGGAATTTTTTTGACAAAAGGCAAAAACCGATATGGAAATAAAACAGAATGAACTTAAATGAGGAAAAATAAAAACAAAAGAAACTGAAATTGACAACTTTGTCCATCCTATCTTTTTATACAAGATTTATTTCACAAAAGTCAGTGGATGTCTGTGGTTTTTAGGTCAACATTATTATTAAACTAATGCTGCTTCATTTGGCTGGTACTCTTTTTTAGAATGAGACTTTATTAAGCTACCTCACCATAGAAGAATGTTTAACTTATATTGCCATGCTGGCCCTCCAGAAGCACTCCTGTGATTTTATAAAAAAGAAGGTATGCATTTTTTAACTTTTGCAATATATTCTGAATTATACGCTGGATAAAATTATTTTGTGGAAGATCTTCTATCCTAAAAAAAACCAAATGTTCCAGTCTTTCACATACTGTAGTTAGGATGTTTAAAATCCCTTCAAAGCCAATCAGAAGGAAGGAGATACCATCAATTCTCCACTTGGAATAACTGAAATGACACAAGACAGTGAGCAAGTATTTTGTATTCAGCAGGCTGGAGGTCACAATTATGGACGTTGCTGCTTTAACAGAGCCTGAATGCTTGCACAATCTATTTTATGACTGTTTGGTAAAGTGTGGAAAAATAACGTTTTTTATTATAAGAAACTGGAGTGGCCGTGCTGCCCACGGGGATTTTGCAAACTTTAATCCCTGAAAGTAAGTATTTTAAGCTCTGTCAAATTGGTTGCTTCTAATAAAAAGTAATTCTTGGCTGTAGATATTGAAGGCAATGAGATTGAAGGAACTGAATTATGTGCAGAACTGGAGCAAAGCAGAGGTTGTGTGTGTTAGTGGAGGTGGAGGAGAAACTGATTTCTGCCTTTGGTTCTGCCTTACTAACTCTGTCCACCACTGGCTGCAGTTTCTTCCACTCCTTCAGCCACGATCACCACCATTAGTCAAGAGAGCTAAGAAGCAACAAGTTGCAAGAAATTCTTGCTTGCGACGAATTAATTTTGGGGTGACCAGGTTATAGGAAAGTTACATTTCAAAAATGTAATGAGTATAAATTAAAACATTTCATTGGTATAACAAGTAACATTATCGAGTTACTTCAAAAAGTTACTTTTAACAAGCATTTAAATGCATTTTATAGGCATTTCAACAGGAATTTTTAAATTTTTATTTTTTAGTAATACAAAGTTCCCCCATAAGTAACAGAAATGAACAAAAAGATAATGAAGAGTGCAAACAGTAACATAATGAATTACTTTCCTGACGGGGTAGTGACAATAATCAATTGCTTTTCACATACCATGTAAGTAACTGGGTTGCATTTGAAATTTGCAGCTGTCCAAGTGGTGCATCTGCTCTGCCTCTAACACAGAGGCAGTCAAAGTCCTTTCGCTGCCTGAGGCAAAATAAGAAGGCACCCCCTCTCCTCCATTCTACATACAAAAACTGACTGGACTGCCAGTTAAATCTGTCTTCAGTGCTGGTGATAGTGGGACAGCATCTTCTATCATGCAGTAGGCAAGAAATAACAAGCCGGTTTAGAGAATCAAGGCAAACATCCATATAGGACACATATCTCAGGACTTGGCTAAACATTCAAATCGCTGTGGCCAGGATCCAGCTAAATAGAGTCACTTAGGGTGCACATGCAAGGATACAGTAGTGTGGTTTGGGATCAGGGAACTACATCGCACCTGGAGTCATCTGGAGAGAGCCTGCTTAGTATGATCAAGATATTTAGAAATAAATATTGTTTCCTTTTAAAGGGGTGACTACACAGGCATTTGTGCTTGGACTGCAATGAATTCTAAAAATGTATTCTGGAAGGCTTTCACGGCCGGGATCTGATGGTTGTTGTGGGTTTTTTGGGCTCTTTGGCCATGTTCTGAAGGTTGTTCTTCTTAACGTTTCATCAGTCTCTGTGGCCAGCATCTTCAGAGGACTGGAGTAGGAACTCAGTCCATTCTTTGTTGCTGTTTGTTGGATATTTCTATGTCACTTCACATTGGCCAGTAGTAAGCCTCAACTAACAATGCCCGTTTAATCATTGGAACTGATGTAGCTGTTGACTCACAGGCCCCCCACTGAGTCAAAGGGTCTACTCTAGTTGCAAATTACTATTAGATTTTAGCTGTGTTCAAAGCACTTCACAGGTCTTATTTTGGTAACATCTGAAAGACGGGTCAATATCATCATTCCCTGCAGCAGATTGTATAGAACTAAGACAGAGAAGCAGTCATTCAGCAAGGGTACCTAATGAACTCCTCACTAAGGCGAGATTTAAATGAAGCCCTTACGGCTCACAGCACACTACATTCTGTCCTTGAAATCACAACCATCTGGAAGTACCCCTAGTCAGGTAATAGCTTAGTGATTTATTCAGCTACATTTTGTGCCATAGTATTTTAAAGACTTTCATCTTTCTGAGTAGCGTTTTCTGAAACTTTAAATATACACAGAGACCGACAGCTTAAAGGATTCTTGAGCAACAGCTGGGCAGGCAATATCCACCTCAAGTTCATCCTGAATTGTCACTGTTTTCTGCAGGTGGATGCTGTCATGGCCGAGCTGGGTCTCAGTCCTGTTGCTAACACTGTAATTGGAAGCCGTATTTTTCGGGGGATTTCTGATGGTGAAAGACGTCGCGTTTCAATTGCAGCCCAGCTATTACAAGATCCCAGTGAGTACGGTGCCGAGCCTTTCAGAACAAAACAAATACTCTGTCCTTTTTTTATTAGACTGTCACTTGGTACACCCATCTACCACCCACCTCTCCTCAACGTTTTTCGATCGAACTTTTCATTTGTCCCAGAGGTTCAATCAAACAATGCTCATTAATGTCCAGCAGTTTACCTGGCAGAGATCTATCGCACAAGCTGAGTTGCAACCTCTGTTTGGCTGCTGATGGGATTTGTGGTGACAAATCCTCAATTTAGGCACATAACTTTCAGTAACAACTCTGTCCTCAGAACAGCTGGGAGAGCTCTTACTAGGGAAGATGATGAGTTGCAGCTTCAATTATTTTCTCAACAGCCCTTCAGAGTCTTGAGTCAGAGTGCTTATGGATGGACAGCTCCCTTGCATTGATCATGGATCTCCTGTTCACTGGGAGAAACAGGGCTAATGGCCCTATCATTAGGCAGAATGGGGTAGACACTTCAAGGCAGCAGATCCTGGAGATCATGAAAGGGTGGGAATTTGTTAAATATCAAACTTGCTTTTGTTGGATTTTTAGTATGGAGGTGGGCAGAGGTGCTTGTGGGATTTCCTTTCTCAAGTGCCAAAAAAACTTGCCTGGCTTTTTGTAAAATACAGTGGTGCCTCGCATAGCGACATTAATCCGTGCAGCAAAAATCGCTGCTAAGCGATTTCGTCGCTATATGATTTTTAAAAGCCCATAGAAATGCATTAAAACCTGTTTAATGTGTTCCTATGTGCAAAAAACTGACATTAAAGCAAAGATCCTCCATATGGCTGCCATTTTTGCTGCCTCTTAAGCGAGGAATCCATCCCTAAACACAGCGGGCGGCCATTTTTTTTAACCCGGTGGCCATTTTGAAACCGACGATCAGCTCTTTAAAAATCGTCACTTTGCAATGATCGGTAATCGAAACAGGGACCCCGATCATCGCAAAGCGAAAAAACCCCATTTAAAACATTGCAATGCGATCGCTTTTGCAATCGTAAAATCTTAGTTGCTATGCAGTTTTGTCGCTAAATGGAGCACCCGTCAAGTGAAGCACCACTGTATATGTTTTATATGGGTGAGTAGGGCGGAATGCCATATTCTGCCTTTCCTCAGGCAGTAAAATGTAATGGTGGACTCTAGCTTGTATCCATATACTGTACCATGTCTGCTGAAGCTGGCCATGAAAGCGCCCAAATGTAAAATGCATGGGTTGTAGCTTGAAATGATTAGAGTTCTGAGAGGGCAACAACAATCATCATGGAGGAACTCCTGTTTGGAGTGAAGCTTACCATGAAGCTACAGGCAGATCCATCCCTACTGTCGATGGAGCTCAGGGCCTACCTCCAACAGCTGATTTGGGTTATCATGAGTTTTTAGTTATTTAGCTTATACCTCTTGCATTTTTACTCCTACAGAAAGACACTTGTGGGACTTCCTGTCTTGAATGGATTAAAAACATGGCCAGTCACAGGAACTAGGGACCCTGACTTGGGGGAAATGAGTGGGACAATTTGCCATCTTCTCTCAGGCAGTGAAATGTATTAGACTGGTCTAGGGTACAGGTGTTTGGGTGCTCAGAGCTGATCTTACAGATTCTGCGCCACAATAACGCTAAATTGTTTATTCTAAAACTAAACACTGATATTAAAATTGAAAACAATTTTCAAGGATAATGAAGCCATTATGAAAATGTTCCATTTTGAGATAATGAAGCAATTATGAAAATATCCCAGCTGGAAGTCTGTAGGAAGTCAGTTTCAACTCTTTAGTTCTAAACTACAAATGGACGCTGAAAGAATGAGTAAGCTAATGAATGAATTGGGGCGGGGGGAGAGTCCACAAAGGGCAGAATTATCCATTATTTCTGTAAATATATGGTCCAAAATGGTTTCTATTAGCTAATCTGAATTCAGAGCAAGAAGGTCTTTGCAGAGGAGAATTAATGAACGGGGGCTTAAAACTCTTCTGTTGCTCTATGAAATGCTGAAATGCCCCCTCCAGAGTTTTTGTTTTGTTTGTGTTTTTGTTTCTTCTAGTCGGTATTAGATGTGTGTGTTTTTTTCACCACCACTATTTTGTGACTCAGGCTAGTTGATGATGGGGATGTAAACAGAGGGAAAGCAAAGTATGCCATTTATATACTGCCCCATAGTGCATAAAACACTCTGGACAATTTGAAGTTTTTAATTATGCAGGCTGCACATTGCCCACCCCCACCACCAGCGAGGTGGGTACTTAGTTTAACAGCCTCGGAAGGATGGAAGGCTGAGTCAACCTTGAGCTGGCTACCGGGGCCCATCAAGATCAAACTCAGAGCAGAGTCTTGATTGCACTACTGCAGTTTCACCACTCTGCTATGAGGCAGATAAACTTGCAAAGAAAAACATAATAGTAATGCAAGAGTGGAGGAGGACGTACATTACCAAATGTACATCCTCCTCCACTCTTGCGTTACTATTATGGAACTGACTCCGGATTAAGTAACTCCACCTTGATGTCCTGATGAGCTCTTAGGAATGGTTGCTTTCATTTTCACAGAGGTTATGTTGCTAGATGAGCCTACCACAGGTCTGGACTGCATGACAGCCAGCCAGATTGTGATGCTACTTTCAGAACTTGCTCATAAAGGAAGGATTGTGATTATTACAATCCACCAGCCCCGCTCAGAACTTTTCCAGGTAAGGAGCATTAAAAATACTGAATTTGCCTTCTGTACAGCTGGAAAAAAAACATATTTGTTCTTTTTAGAGAGGTGAATGTGTAAGAAAAAATAATAAAAGGAAAACAAAAGGATTGTGGCACCTTTAAGATTAATAGATTTATTTCAGTGTGAGCTTTCATAGAGTACAATCCACTTCTTCAGCCACATATTCATTCTTGGGACACAAAAAATGAACCTTTTTATAGACTTTCAGGTCTTACAGTATATGCTCTGCTCTGCTTCATTGTGACATTCTTCATAATTTCATTGTTGGGTCTGATGGAAATAAGATCCTTGCTTGTGGGCCACTACTACATAAGAGCAAGAATCTGTATTGCCACAGTCCTTGGCTTCATGTGGAGGCTACACATGAGCAAGAACTTTGCTTCTTGAGACCTTGTGTTGAAATTGTGAAGAAACTGATAATAAGGGGTGGTGCAACATGCTCCCCTAAGCATTTTCACATCAGGGACTCCCCAAACTATTCAACAAGAGACTTGAGCTGAGAGACCTCATAGACAATATGGAAGTGCTATATTAGTCAAGCCTGACTTCCAAATATTAGGTACCACACGTAAAGAACAGAATGATACAGAGATAATAACAGTGGAGTCCAGTAATTGCATAGTATCCTTTGTTTATAAACCTCCTAACACAACCTTTTCCTTTAAAACCTATTAACAGTTTTCATAAGCAAAAAATAAATGTTCAATAGCCTCAACAGTGTCTGAGGACATGCGCATGATGATAACAAAGGAGAAGTAGTGCTAAAATGGGTGGAAAACATCTAGTTAGCCCTTATTAATTATACAAACTTGCCTCCATCTTTCAGTAATGGGAGATGACAACATGAGTACAACTTGGGCTTGATACTTGCTAATGAGCATTGTGTGAAGTCAGTCTATACATCAATTCTGAACAAGCAGCACTGGCCCATAATATCAACATACTGTCAATGGCGGCAGTCTGGCCATTGACAGTATGTTCCAAAGGGGATATAATTTTTTAAAAGCCAAACGGCAAGAGTTCAGCACAATATTGGATGAATTATACTGAATGTTTTCCCAGCTCCTAAAGCCTAAGAATGGCTTGTCAGGGTGGTGGAAGGATCATCCTTATTGTCCATACCCCAAGAATGCAGACCTAACTGAATTTCATAATTGGAAACAGTCACCCAAATGAATACAGTGGTGCCTCGCTAGACGATGATAATCCATTCCACTGAAATTGCTGTTTAGCGAAATCATTGTCTAGCAAAAAGCATTTCCCCATTTGAATGCATTGAAACCTGTTTAATGCGTTCCAATGGGGAACAATCATCGTTGTCTAGCGAAGATCGGCCATAGGAAAGCCACTTTGCGAACCACCAATCATCTGTTTAAATCGCTGTCTTGCGAAGCTTAGGTCCCAAAAACACCTGTTTTGCGAGCGCGGAGGGAGCTGTCAAAATCGTCATCTAGCGAAAATCGGTTTGCGAAGCAGGGACCAAACATTGTCCAGCGAAAATCCCCCATAAGAATCACTGTTTTGCGAATCGCTATAGTGATCGCAAAAAGTCAATGTGTAGCAAAAAAACTGTCATGCGGGGTAACTATCTAGCGAGGCACCACTGTAATTATTTTTTACAAATTGAACAAAATCCAAAGAAACCATCTTGGCTGGGCACTGATTATTCTGGAAGTCTCAGACACTAAAGAAGAGAATTGGCTAAGATGCATGGAAGAAATAAAGATGCCAAAAAACAGTCAAAAGGCCTGGAGATTATTAAACCAGTTAAACAACAACCAAATAAACAGTAAGGATGAGACTTTCATGTTAACCCAAATGGGGAAAAACATAAAAGAGGCATTTCTTTGCATTTCTGAAAGAGATGATCACGAACATATTTCTACCAAATTTCTTCAATTGGACTACCTTTATTTGACCCATGCCGGTCCAATCGCCTCTTTGATAGTCCAACAAATAGCATCATGGGTCTCACAACAAGGACTGTCAGCTGCCAATTAAGATACAGAGAATATTGGCAGGGTTGAGGGTTGGCAAGTCGGAATCTTTAAAAGGATCTGGAAAGCTAAAATGGCTGCTCTTTACCTGCTTGGTGATGTGTTTGCTGTTGCTGTGAGAACTCCCCTATTCACCACCATTGTGCATTTCAGCCCTCATCTTTCTACTCTATTGATTTGGGGTGGGAGAATTTCTCCACGTTTCCTTTATTTTTGCCTGCTTGCCCTTGACCTGAATCACTGCCTGCACTACTAGACTAAAGCCATCAAAGAGTTGTCTTCCTGATCCTTATTACTTAGTATCTAGAAACATTGAGTTGAGAGGTTGATTGTATTCCTTGCCCTGTGTGTGTTTGTGTCTGGGATGTGTGTGCCCATGGTGTTCTAATCTTCCTTTTCCTAGTGGGAGAGATTTTTTTAAACATTAATTCTGCATAAATAAAACTGTATAAATAAATTGAATTAGTGATTGTATCACTGTTCATATTGGAGAGGGGGTGCTTCTTTTCTGATCTTTTTACTTTGGCACTTTTTACTGTGTATTTACTATTTCATTTATTTTGTTACAGTATACACACACACACACACAGACACACACACACTTTAGTGGGTTAATTCTGTGTTTCTCTGCGGATGGGTGTGCAACAGTGGGGTAGATTGCGGTCTGCTGCCTCCTTTCTCATTCATTCATTCATTCATTCATTCATTCATTCATTCATTCATTCATTCATTCATTCATCTTGTGCTACTGGTGTCACCGGCCACATGTTAAATAAGGAGGATAGGATAAGCTAAAGTGAAAATTATTAGGAACCAACTGGGGCACACAACCACAAACACTAAGAACTACAACCATGGCGCTATGATACTCCTCAGACAACTATGCCAGCTCAGTGTAGATTCAGCCCAGGCAAAACAGGGAGACTTAGTACTCAATAAAAGCTCAATAGAATTATTATTGGATATCTGAAGCTAACCGCTATAACAATGAAGGGCTGAAAGCATTTACATCCAGTGTGCATCCACTTTTCAGCTACCATTCTTTTCCTCACAGAATAAAATCAAGAAGTTTTTAAAAAAAAACATCAATGGCTCCTGAAGAAGTGGTAGAGAATACCAGGGTATAATGTGGACAGTTCCACATACAATGGGGCTGTTACTTCAGCCACTCAAGGAATATAACACAGAAATGGAGAAAGGTTTTCTTTATCAGATACGTTGAAGTTGAGCTCCAGAGCAATTCTCAGATATGGAAAGAATGTTCTGTTGTTATTACCTCTGCTTCCCAGTACCTTATTCTTCTTATGAGAAGAATGCACAGTAAGGCATTGTTGTTCTTTGTTTCCTGCCTAGATATTTGATAAAATTTGCATTATGAGTTTTGGAGAACTAATCTTCTGTGGAGGCCCATCAGACATGATCACATTTTTCAGTGACTGTGGCTACACATGCCCTGAACATTCTAGCCCTTTTGATTTTTATGGTAAGCATTTTTAAAATTCTTCAGAAACACAGCTCCTGCCTTAATAAAGCTGTTATTTTTTAAAAAGAACTCATTGCATCAGCTAATGTAAAGAATTGTGTCTGGGTGCTTCTCAGCAAGCAGCCAGGTTGCCATTACTGTTGTTCTGATTCTGCAGGTAATTCGTTGCATTGTGCATTATTAGTGTGTTGTTGCGCTCACATTACTTGCAAGCCAGAAAAATGCAAGGAGCTGTTCTTGGGTCTCCTCTAGTGGCCAATTTTGATAATATACAAAAATACAAGACAAAACTAAAAATATTTCCTTGCCACTAAGGACTGGTAATAGAGTAGTGCAAAAATTGAAATGTTTTCATCAAAATGCCTTTAACATGCCTTAACATGGGCTTAAAAATTAACTTTCAAAATGTTGCTAATTGTTGCACAATCTAATTGTGTAACACATTAGATTACATTAGGAACTCCCCCCCATATACATAGGATCAGTATTAGTGGATTCACTTATCTGTAGTTTGCTGCCACAATATATACCACATACAGTACAAGGGTGTCTCCTTGTGGCCTGTGGCCTGCCCCCTCCGGTATCTGCTGTTTCAGGCATCCAAAGTAGATCATGGAGCCACTCCCCCATGGATATGAGGGTCCTACTGTACCTTTTTGTCATCGAAGCCACCAACATGAATTTGACCCAACTCCAGGAGGCAGTGGAAGACAGGAGGGCCTGGCGTGCTCTGGTCCATGGGGTCACGAAGAGTCGGACACGACTAAACGACTAAACAACAACAACTGTACCTTTATTGCAACTTTGTAAAGTCATGCTACATTGCTCATTAACCAAAATTTCTCCTAACCCTCCCTCCCTCTCTGACCCCCTCCCAATTCTCCTAAGTGATTACTTTCCAACCACTACCCATCTCGTGGCGGAATTTCTGTCAACTATTCTTATGAGAAACAGTAATCCCCATCCCTCCCAACTTCAGTTTTAACCTTCCCCCTCTTTACTTCCCTGGTTACATTGTCTATTTTTATTACTGTAATCAAATGCCAATAAGGGTTTATGTATGTATATGTGACCAAAATTTAAAACAGTACTTTTTGCCAGTAGCTATTTCCAGGGTCTATTCAGAAGTGGTGCTTGCTCAAGTGGTGAAAGACATCTACTGGTTTGCTTTCCCTCACCTGTTTTACATTTTGTGATTGTTTATTGGATTAATATCAGATCTCATTGCTGAGGCACAAATCTCAGCAGAAATCATGCTGTGGGAGAGAAAATTCCACCTGCAGAGGATCTAAATGTTGATGTCTTATTTGACCTTCAGTGATAAGCCGTGTGATTGCATGTGGATGTCCCAGGTTCAATTCACAGCTTGGGGGAGAATCCTCTCTGAAATTCCAACCACTACCACCGATCAGTACAAACAATACCGAGCTAGATAGACTGTTTCTCTGTATTTCTACAGATTGGGCTAGAATGAAAAATGCATGTTGTTGTATTCTTAGAGAAGGCAAGTCACAAACTAACATTTTCTGGTGAATTTGCAGTGGATCTCACATCAGTTGACACTCAAAGCCAGGAGCGTCAACTGGAAACCTACAGCAGAGTGCAAACCATTTGTACTGCCTACAAACATTCAGAAGTATTTCTCAGAACTCTGGCGGCTATTGAGGAAGCCAAGTGCCGTGTGAAAGAGCTACCACCGATACCTTTTAAATGTGAAGAGTCCCCTAGTGCGTTCTGCAAGCTATGCATACTTTTAATGTGAGTGATGACGTAGGAAATGGACAGGGCCTGTAATTCTAATATACTGACCAGAACCTTATCAGGGCTTATGTAGAGATATGTGTAAATTGCAGGGGCAAATTGCCACTAATTAACAAGTTGCTGCTCATATTCCTTGTCGCCTGCTAAGTTGCATGACTGGCATGCAGTGAGGAATGCACGTGTTGGCTAGCTAATTAGCAGTAATTCACAGCTCCAATTTATGCTAAACCGATATAAATCCTGACTAGGATTCTGGCCATTATTCTAAATAAGTATATTAGGACCTTCCCAAAGCACACAAATATATGAAAATATATTCATCAGAAAAGGCATTGAAAAAGGTAGAGGGTGGGAGAAGGAGATGGATGGAGAGAGAGGAAAGTCCTTGTTTTCTCATCACAGCCTGACTTGGGAAAGAGGGGAAGGATTGGCCTATATTCCAATGTAAATCTATCAGGTGATGTGCTGTGTTAGGTTTCAGCAGAGTGGGGTATGTTGGCTGAGAACAGGGGTGGGTTCCTTCATTATTGCAATCATAAAGTCTGCCTCTAAGCTTATGTTTGTCTGTCAAGTATTTATTCTCCACTTTCTTCAGGAGGACAATGAAGAATTTATCCAGAGATAAGACTGGGATTATAATGCGGATTTCCCAAAATCTATTATTTGGCCTTTTTGTGGCATTCTTCCTTCTAAGAGTGAACAATGGTTTCCTCAAAGGAGCTGTGCAGGATCGGGTAGGACTAATCTACCAATTTGTGGGTGCTGTACCATATACGGGAATTCTCAACGCTCTAGCCCTGTGTAAGTGTTTTTTGATCTATTAGTAGCCATAATGGGTGTACACAGAAACAGTCAAACATATAGACCATTAAAATAAAGATTTATTGTGCAATTGCAAATGTTAATTCATTAAAGTTTTACCAGGGATTCACATATTGTTATTGTTCGTTGGGGAGAGGGTGGGCCCAAAGGTAAAGCCTAACAATTTGGAGTCAAGTCCTAAAAATTTCAAGAAGCAAATTAGCACCTATTAGCAATTGTTTCTGTCCATGGAGTTTTCTTGGCAAAGATACTGGAGTGGCTTGCCAGTTCCTGCTACAGGAGGATCGCGTTTAGTCAGAACACTTCACTATGATCTGTCTGTCTTGGGTGTCCCTGCACGTAAACTAAGATCATGGCCACTGGTCCCATCATCTCCTGGCAAATAGAAGGGGAAGATATGGAGGCAGTGACATATTTTACTTTCTTGGGCTCCATGATCACTGCAGATGGTAACAGCAGCCACGAAATTAAAAGACGCCTGTTCCTTGGGAGGAAACTGATGACAAACCTCGATAGCATCTTAAAAAGTAGAGACATCACCTTGCCGACAAAGGTCCACATAGTCAAAGCTA